GCCAAGTATATCCATAGCTACTCTCTCTAATGCCTCAAGAACAGGCCACTGCTGCATAGGGCCCTCCTACGTTTTGGATGAGTTTTTCGTTTAGCGCACGACGTGCAATTTCGGATGAACGCCCGTACGTCTTCGTGCATTTTGGGCCAATAGAATCGCTGTTTCAGTTTCCCTAATGTCTAAGTGACTCCAAGATGACCACTCGTAACACCTCCATGTACTTCGTTAATTATTTCCGTTCTTATGTTATGGGGTACCACCACTCTCCAGGAACAATTTCCGCCACAATCGGACTCCCAACGCCTGCAAAGCACACCATTCTTAAATTCCAATACGTCCCATAGCAGCCAATAGGCTCTGTTTGCCGGATCTACATCCTCCCATACAGGTCGATCCTCGTTCTCGTCCTTGGCCCGGTACACCCAAGCCATAGATTCATCCTCTAACTGTTTAACTTTTAGATCGGTTTTTTGTACTCCTGGTTCTAATCGAGTCAGCATTGCATGACTAAGTTCAATCTGTCTATCTTCGTCCCGTCCACACTGTTTACATGGTCTTCTCGAAAGTCCATCGGCGTTACCATGTTTGACCCCGGATCGGTGTATCACTGTAAACTCGTACTCATTGATCACCTCAAACCATCGGGCTAGCTGACCCTCTGGGTTTTTAAAGTTCAATAGCCATCGTAACGATGCAGGATCTGTCAGGATAGTAATTTTTCTCCCGTACAAGTATTGTTGGAAATATTTGAGAAAGTACACTAGGGCGAGAAGTTCCCTCCTAGTCACACAGTAGTTTCGTTCCGCTTTACTAAGCATTTTACTTCCGTACGCCAAAACTCGTTCTTTCCCGTCCTGCACATGGGATAACACTCCACGGATACCAAAGTTACTGGCGTCAGTATTTAGTATGAATTCAGCCTTGGTGTCAGGATATGCAAGTATGGGAGATTCTTGTAGTTTTTGTTTAAGTACATGGAACGCCCGCTGTTGGGCCTCACCTCACTCAAATATACGGGACTTTTCCGTAAGCTGGAACAATGGTTTGGCCAAAACAGAAAAATCCTGAATGAATTTCCGGTAATATGAAGCCAAGCCGAGAAAACTGCGTACATCACGTACATTCTGGGGTACAGGCCAATCATGTACCACAGATACTTTAGCCGGGTCAGTTTTTACACCAGCTTCGGATACAGCATGCCCCAGGTACAAAACCTCTGCCTTAAACAGGCTACACTTTTTAGGTTTTAGTTTTAATCCGGCATTCCTAAATCGCTGGAACACCGTCCCTAGTCTGGATATTTCCTCGTCTACCGTTCTCGCGTACACAACGACATCGTCCAGGTAAATTAACAAAACTTCCCACTGGAGACCACAAAGAACACGTTCCATCAATCTCTCGAACGTAGAAGGTGCGTTGCAAAGGCCAAAATGCATCACTTTCCATGTGTAGTGTCCGCCACGTACAACAAAGGTAGACTTTTTCTGGGCATCCTCATCCAGTTCCACCTGCCAGTAACCAGAGGCCAAATCCAGTGTTGAAAACCATCGCGCACCGGCGAGAGCATCAAGGGAGTCATCGATTCTGGGTATAGGGTATGCGTCTTTGATTGTTACAAGTCGCCGATAGTCAACACAGAACCGCTTCGTACCATCCTTCTTAGACACGAGTACCACGTTCGAAGCCCACGGGCTTTCTGTAGGTTCGATAAATCCTCGTTCTAATAAATCGGAAATTTGGTTTTTAATTTCCTCCTGGTACTTGACAGGCTGTTTCTGGGTAGGTTCGCTAATTGGGAGTGCGTTACCTGTATTAATTGAATGTTTAACAAAACCTGTTACCCAGATCAGTATCGCTAGATGCAAATACGTCCTGGTATCTAATTAATAACTCACGTATCTTGTAGTGGTACACTGACTCAACTCCCTTCACACTTCGTTCATACAGATCGATTAGGTACTTTGGTAGCACGTTCTGTCTATTTACTCCATCAGTTTGTTCTATTTTAACAGGAGCCAACACTCCAACTTTGGTTCCGGCCATGAGCACTTTCCTATGGGGACCCGGATTTAATACACGTAACAGGAATGTACGTCCCTTTGGTTCCACTAGTGTTCTAGCCAAGCAAAGCCCTTTATCCTGTAAACCATAGTCCCCATAGGACTCCACTAGGAAGAGTCCTTTAGAACCACAGGCCCGGCCTACGTAACCTCGTATCAGGTACTTTTGTCCCGAGGAAATTTCTTCTGTCTCCTGTACCATCACTGGTAAAAGGAACGGTTCCCCAAATTTTGATGTGAGACATCTAACTCGTTCCTCCCCTAGGCATAGCTCTAATGTTCCCATGTCAAGAATTCCACCAGAATTCAATAGGAAGTCCATGCCTAAGAGTCCCGTCACTTTTAGGTCTGCAAATATAACCACCATCGTATGAACTGTTTTGCCTACTTTGACCTCCACTCTAGCACTCCCAATTGTACCTATTGGTTTCCCATCTGCTTGATGCAGTTTTGACCTGAATTTCCCTAACTGTGGTCGCTTATCTGCACTAATCTGGTAATATAAGGAAGTAGACAATTGAGTGTTTGTTGCCCCAGTATCAATGAGTAAATTTGTTTCTGTCCCTGCTACTACAGCCCTCACATATAACCCGTCTTTTGGGTTATACAAAGGATTATAAGCTGGTAACTCTCGTATTTGTTTAATTTTGGATTTTACTGGCCCCCATCTGCTTTCCAACCTTCCCTTGGGCCTTGGGTTGGTTGGCCATCGTTCCCAGGCTGCCGTGGTACTTTACAATCTCGTAAGAAATGACCTGGTTCCCCACAACGGTAACAACAACCCTCGTTACGTCTCCTCTGATCCCGATATTCCCGGAAATAAGCAGTCCCTTTCCTTTCCCGTTCCCCGGTATTCAGTGGCCGTTCAGTTAACTTATCTGACAACAGGGACAAGGTTCGTTCTAGATTATTGAGCCGCATTGAAACATTTTCTCTTCCCGTGCAGCACGTACATGTTTTGGGCCCCGAAAAGGCACCCGCTGTTTCTCCAACTGTTGAAATCCCTGCACGTTCAATGCTGCCAATATAGCTTCATCTAAATTTTTAGGGTAAGCCCTAAAAATCCCTTCTCGTACATCAAGGTCCCCCACAGCCTCCATAACGTGACCCTTGGCGAATCTCTCCCTCTGATCAACAGACATCGTTGGGTAGGCCCGCATCGACATTTCCCGTACCCCCTGTCCTAATTGTTGCAGAGTTTCACCATCTTTCTGCCTAAGTAACCTAAGTTGCATTAAATAATTTTCTGCCTGTTGGGCGGTTACAAATCGGCGTTCCAAAGAATTTACCAATTCTTCGTACGTCACTTTTCCCTTCCCGAAATTTCCCAACACTCTCAGTGCTGGTCCTTTTAAAGAAGCAGCCAGAAACGTAGCTGCTTTCTCATCAGTCCACCCATTGGCTACTCTACATGAATTAAAATGAACAAAATATTCCCGCCAGGGTACCTTCCCCTCGTATCGATCCGGGTTATTGGCTGGCCGCTTCAGGGTCTCTCCGAACACACGTTCAAAGGCATTGTTACCGCTTATGGCGTTTTGCCGCACAAACGGCTGTGTCTCTGTACCTAATGGATCTGTTACGGACCCGAGCGCCGCACAACTGGTAACTGGATTAACACCCAAAAAATCGTTTTCGCAACCCTGTGGTCGCTGAATTTGTATTGGATTTTCACTTACAGACATAGAATTGGACAACCTATGTAACGGTAGCTGGTTCGTCATCGTACTATGATCGACTCCCACCACAGGCAAGGAGCCATAATTATCCCGTTCAAATTTAGTGAACAAACTAGGACCTCCGAGTCCCTCCTTCCTATCTCTAGGCTTATCTAGGAAGCTCTCCTTATCTGTGTCACGTGCTGAACACACGGGCGTACAGCCCCATCCATCGGTCAAGGTTCTCGTACCTTGGCTTTGGATCGGGAATAATTTGGAACCCCCGGGCCCTAGGACCCCGCCTAGCCCTGGTTCAACTATCTCCTTATTTAATCGGCTATCGCCTTTTTCAACAAAATTATCCAGGCTAATAGAAAATAATTTTCTTTGCCCCCGTACCCCAGGTACTTCATTTTCACGTACATAGCCTAGGCCTAGCACTTTGCTATCATCGGCCCGTTCGCTATTCAAACGGCTACCATTAGTAACAAAAGTTTCTGCTAGGCCTACACGTTCCCCTAGCATTGATCGGTACCCTGACTCCGGTACCGTATCTAAAATTCTAGGCCTATGCTTATCTACCACAGCTGGATCATTTATAAGATTAGGAGCAATAGGAGGCCTGGCTAGCGGTTTGACAGGTACATCACGTACAACCGGTACTGATACAGGCAATTCTCCTAATTCACGTTCAATCTCGGCCATTCGTTCTTGAATGGTACTAAGCATAGCGGAGATCGGGGCGGCAACCCCACCTTGATCTGATGGCTGACCATCCATCACGTTCAAGACTTACACGTACTCAATAATAAATAAATACAAAACCAAAGACAGTATTAATCTAAGCCTAAGTTAACCAATTATTTTCTTTTAATTTATCCCACCGCTGCCACCAATGTAACGTTTCTCGGCCTTGACCAAGTGTGTGGTTCGGCGACGGTGATATTCCGTCGACTTAATAACTAATAAAGATTAATGACACAGTTTAACTTGTGTGATGAGCCTTGTGACTCTTTTATTTCAATAAGAAATAAACTTACCAAAGCAACGTACAAATTATTACAGGTACAGTAATGTAGATACTGGATATGAAACAGGACAATATTGAGTTCACGTCCGATCAAAGTGGAGTCGCCAATCGATCTCCCCTAAATTTTCTTTACCCAAATACTTTACAACTTTTCTATGATGGCGCTGTTTTACATGCCGCTGATGAGTGAATTGTACTCTGCTTTATTTGTTATTTTCCACTTTTCTGAAAATTGATTGTGACTGGTCTGTATCATATGTTATTTTTAAGAAACTTGAGACACTCCTGTAAAGATTAAATAAGATGTTTTGTTAGTTTTTATTGATCTTTTCTCAAAAGCAATTTATTTAACTGACTTATGTTATGGTTTATAGAATGGCCCCGAAACTGCTAAATACCAGGATGGTGTCCGGCGGGGGATAGTTTAACTAATTGTAGTTAAGATTAATATACTGTATTTAAGAGTAATTAAGCCTAGCTTAAGGTAGTTAGGGATGTCCTGGGTACGACATTAAAACTCCATCCGGTCGAAGCGTCAGCGACTAAACTGACAACCCTCTCAGATATGTCTTAGTGGCTGCTGAAGGGAGGGTGTTTATGGTCACCCAGCAGCAAGAAAAACCAATAGCTGAACAAAGGGCGGATGAGCTCCTCGGAGTCAACGGCCAACCATTAATTAGTTTAAGGAATAGGAGTAGTTTAGTCTCATTGTTATTGTTATTATGATTATTTTTATTTTATTTTATTGTTATTATTTTATTTTTATTTGCTTTTTCTCAGTTGGCCTATATTATTTCTCTGTAAAGCGCATAGGGGCAATGTGCAATATGCGCTATATAAATATAACATTATTATTATATTATTTTCTAATTTACATATAAGGCGAGAACCAATCAGCATTTAGTATGATAACTTTGGGAAGAAATCTAATTAACATCAGACAAGAGCCAATCAGCATTAAGAATGATAAACTTTAGGAAGAAATCTAGTTAACATATCAGAAAAGCGCCAATCAGCATTAGTTGGGTTAATCCATTTTATACAAGGGTATAATTAAGCAATATAGACTGTACCAATTTTGTTACAATATATTTACGCACCGCGAGCCTCGATCGAACACACTCATGTCGCGATTGGGATCGTGCGAGCCTAGCGGAACTGCATTTTTTGGTACATAGTAGAATTGTGCTAAAAATAATATATGAGTATAATATCCCCCCATTCATGTTCTGTTTGTCTAATTATTATATCAGCTACTAAACAAAATTTTTGCAATGCATAAATTTATAAAAATCATGAATTTTAACGAGAAAAGTAAGGCCGGTCTACAGTGAAAATGTAAACAAACAACGCCCTAACTCCGTAAATGTTAATATCGCTAAACATGGTCGTAATTATCGTCGTTTTACAAAATTGTGCAATTTTTCTGTATGTTATCGTTGGTCGCCAATGAACAATCAGTGTCTGTTCTTGTATTCTGTGAATATTGGCCTGACAACTTCTTCCGATTTTTAAAAATTTTCGATTGAAAACAGCAAATATTTTGGCTTTACTAGGCGTTCTTGACAACTCCACGGGCTCATACGCGCAATTTTACGCGTTGTTTATACATGCGCTAGGC